CCTTTGCGGCTGTCAGTGTTGGATTCCTTTCTATTGGCACTGCTTCCAGGCCAAAGGCCGATTGGTCACAAGGACCAGTATTTCTTGTTCAATAAGAAGATAACAATTTACTTCTTTACCATTGATGTAAACTCTTAAAGGTCATTTTCAAACAGTCTTAAAAACACTTAGAAATTCCACGGATGTTTTTAATATACTACTTTTCCATCTGTATTGCTTCCAAGGGCAGACATCTAAAGTTGTTTCAGAGGGAATAAAGTACTTCTTGAGTAAAGCTACTATTGTAATGTAGGGTAAAGGTCATCACAAAATAGCTACGGTTGGGCATTAACGCGATTATGTAATGATGATGCAGCAAAGGCCTAAATTATATCTCTCATCTATCTATTCAACTGATAATACATCAGTTCGGTGTTACCTGAAGCACACTTCAACTAGTTTAGTTCTATCTTAAAACAGCAAAGTATGCATGTCATAGGGTTTTTCTCTGAATGTTTAAACAGCAGAAAATTGAATACAGGGACCCATTGTGTACACTTTTGACACCTTTTTTATGACAATTCGACACTGGTGTGTCAGTGGCCCATTCTTGAGTATTGGGAGTTCTTTGCATCCATCCCTTCCTCTTCATTAACATAAAACATAGAAACATAGAAAACAGGAGCAGGAGTAGGCCATGAAAACTTTTCAGCTTCTCCACCATTCAGTAAGTTCACGCTGATCATCAAGCTCAAGATCCTAATCTCGCAGTCCTCCATATTCCTCAATCCCTTTAACCACAAGAACCGTATCCTCATTTTTCTAAATTGCAGTGAATACAATTTTAACTGATTCAATCCTCCTATGTCAGTCCTGCCATCCAAGGTATCAATTTGATATACCTTCGCTGCCCTCCCTCTATAGCAACAGCATCCTTCCTCACATAAGGAGACCACATAATCCAGATATTACCTCACAATGCCCTGTATAAATGCAGCAAGATAACTTTGTTTTTGTACTTGAATCACCTCACTATGAAGGCCAACATGCAGTCTGCCTTCTTTACTGCCTGCTGCACTTGCACGCTTACTTTCACCGAAGTGGACGAGGATACCCAGGTATCGTTGAACATTTCCCTCTGTCAATTTACAGCCATTCAAATAATAATCTACCTTCTTACTTTTGAGACCATTGTCGATAACCTCACAGTTATTCGTATTATACTGTATCTGCCATGTATTTGCCCACTCACTCCACCTGTTCAAATCATACTGCAACATCTCTGCATTCACAGCTCACCCTTCCACTCAGCTATATCATCTGCAAGTTTTGAGATATTACATTTAGATCCCTCATTTAAATCATTTATATTATGAATAACCGGGGCCCTATTACTGATTCCTGCAGCATCCCACTAGTCATTGCCTGCCCTTCAGAAAATGGCCCATTTATGCCTAATCTTTGTTTCCTTTCTGCTAACCAATTTTCTATCCATCTTAATATACTATCCCCAGTGCCATGCGTTTTAATTTTATACTTTAATCTCTTGTGTGGAACCTTGTTGAAAGTCTTCTAAAAGTCCAAATAAAGCACATCCAATGGCTCCACTGAGCAACTCTACTTGTTACGTCATTGAAGAATTCCAGTAGATTTGTCAAGCATGATTTCACTTTCATAAATCCATGCTGAGTATATCCGATTCTAAAACTGTTTCCTGACTGTTCTACTGTAAAATACTTAATCATAGACTCCAGCATCTTACCTACTACCAAGATCACATTTGCTGGTCTATAATTTCCTGTTTTCTCTCGATCTCCCTTTTTGAAGATTGGGGTTACATTAACTACCCTCCAATCTGTAAGCACAGTTCCAGAGTCTGAAGAATCTTGGAAGGTGACCACCACTGCATCAATATTCCTAGGGCCTCTACTCATAGCGATATTTGTAGTAATAATTATGCTTTTGACTGTCACAGCATCAATTAATTACTTCAGAATATTGATACAACTGCAACTCACCATTGCTTGTGTAAGAAACGTTATTAATTTCATTAGTCAGATCTCAATGGTATAAACAGCAGGGTGCAGAGTATTTTAATGCTAATGATAGTCCGTCCTTAGTTAGAGAAAGCCCTTAGTGGTAAAATACTGTAGTAATAAGCAAATTAAGATAATCTTCCTTTGGTGTGAAAAAATCATTTGAAATTTTGAAGATTCAACAGATCTTGGTCTTCCATATTCAACTCTTTATTGCTGCATGATATTGAAAAACACATATCTGCACTGTCAAAAGGAGAAAGTAATGGAGAAGAAGTAAAAAAAAAAAAATTACAGCACTATATACAACCTCAGGACAAGTGCTTCCAGCCAAAAGATATTTCTGAAGCTTAATCTTTGCTATAATACAAGAAATCACAGCAGTCAATTCATTCACACCAAGGTCCCACAAAGGCAATAAAATATATGGTATTAAAAGAACCCAAAGAACTGCTGGAAATCAGAAACAAAAATAGAAACTGTTCTTCAGTTCTTAAGAAGGGTCACTAGACCCGAAACATTAACTCTGATTTCTCTTCACAGATGCTGCTAGACCTGCTGAGTTTTTCCAGCAAGCTATATTTTAATTAAGTTTGTTGGACATATCAGAAGCACTTACCTGCTCTTAGAATAGTGCATGGAATCATATACACCCACCTGTGGGGAAAACTTCCTACAATAAGGTCCACTAAACCTGTATTTATCAATCTAAACTGCTTTGAGTCCTCAAATACAGTAATGGGATAGGGAAACGTTAGACAAAGAGGATGACATGGTAAACCAAAGATCCTTAGACAGCTCCTTCCATACCCACGACCATTACCACCTAGAAAGTCATGGATACCAGATATATCGGAACAATGGGTGCATCTTACTCTCCAAGCCACTCACTATCCTGACTTGGAAGTATTTTGCCATTCCTTCACTGTCGCTAGGTGAAAATCCTGGAATTCCCTCCCTAACAGCATTGTGGGTCCCCCTACAAGTATATGGTCTGCAGCAGTTCAAGAAGGTGGTTCACCATCACTTTCTTAAGGGCAACTAGGGAACGTAAATAAATACTGGCCTAGTCAACAATGGCAATGTCCAATGAGCAAATATAGAAAAAAAATCCCACAAAATTCCGTCAATATCAAGAGATTAGATTCCACCTGAAGCAGCTTTTTATTTTACAAATTCTGATGGACCATCCTGTATGATTCTACCATTTTGTTTTTACTTCTTACTCCTGGTCTTTGCAGCTTTCAATTTTACTTCAACAATTAGTAAAGATATTCTAGCAACAAACATTGAAGTGGAGTTCAATTTAAAGGCAATGTAACTTAAATTACAAAATCATTTTCAATTGTACAAGGTTACCTTTCATAAGCACACATGCAGACACACTTATAATTTAATATGGAACATGTTTCAATTCTGGGTCTGTTTTTGTACTGCCAACGTTAACTGTCAGTTTGTAGTTTTTTTCACATTACAAAATGAACTATTCTAACACAATAAAATGACTATATAGTGATAAGTTGCAACTTTTATAATCATATTTCTCTGCATGTTGAATTGAAGAGATAATGAATAAAAGCTAAATACTTTTTTTCAGAGAACAAGGAAAACAGAACATTAGGAGAGTCACCACTGGGTATTCTCATGCATCTTTGATTCTTGTGGTAGGAATGGCAGAAACTACAAAAGCTTTTAGCTTAGTTTGGTATGGAGAGATGGAAAAAAATGAAGAAAGTTTCCTTTTCCTAAGACTAAATTTTAAATGATCTGCAACAGACCTATCTGGGAAATTACTCAACCAACCACTATTAGTTTACCAGGTCTTCCAGAGGGAGTTCCTCAAAGTTCCCTTTTCCAATATCCAGTTTTAACTTTTGCCAGTCAGGGTTGTTACAATCATCTTCAATTTATTAGAATAAAAAAATCACAAGAGTATTAAAAAAGCACATTCATAATTATTTTCCTTCCTATAGGAATCATATTTTACTCATCACTCAATCCCATTCAGCATTAAACAATTCCAAGACTGTGAACATCGTCTCATCCTCTGCAGTTTAAAAGCTTTAAAAGTCCCACTTCAGAGGACAATCAAAACGTGCTAATGTATGACTTTCAAGATTGATCAATATCTCTTCCATACCTAAACAAAGAAAGAAAAGCAATACCAAATACCCTTTGTATTTCAAAGCCAAATCCCCAAATACAAATGATTATTTATTGTAAAGTATCTATAATTCATTATTATAAAGTGGAAAATCCAAATAACTGTGTACCCTCCATATTTCACAGAGCCATATTCACCCACATTCACAATTTGATTTTGAAACTTTGCAAATATGCTCTGCTAACAGTTATTTTTACATATTTATTCATGTAAGATTCAGGGATTCGTTTGCTGCTAATGCAATGAATTTCTACAGATGAAGAAGATTCTGGGCTCAAAGTACCATATCAACAATGTTCACAAGAGCTTGCACAGAGAACAAAATACACAATGTATAATATTGGCAACTTCAGTACTGATATAGAGCAGAGAATTAGGAAAGAAGGCACAGAATTGTCAAACGTAGAGGGAATATAAAATATGTACTAAGATTAAAATGTGCTGTCAGGGGCAAAAGGCAGAAATGTGTTCTTAGAGTTTGCCATCTTGATTTTGAGGTGGGATGAAGAAGACAAAAGGGGCAGACACCGGGGAGGGGGAGAATTACGAGTCAAAGGAAAGCACAGATATTAATAATTCAAATATCAAAAGGAGGGCTGTTTGAACGGGATAATGAGTATTTGCGGAGCTGGACAGCACAAATTGTGTTCCGAGCCACAGTTTGTCATTCAATGATCTTAGATGCAGGAAAGCAGAGAGAAATGAGACGGGGAAGAGTTGGACAGTCAGCATGACAAGACGTGCCTGACACACAAATAACAATGGTAAACAATGTCAGTGAACAGTAGTAAGCCGGGGGTGGGGATGAGGGGGAGCTTTACCTCCTCGAGTACAGTAACTGTGTTCCTGCAGTTTGCCATTTTGGTGGTGAAGGAGGAGGTTGTCGGCGAGCTGTGGTCCTCCAGAGTTTCGCAGATAAATTCTTGCACAGAGATCACCTCCGGCATCTTCTCAAGTGTTGGTTTGTTTTCCCTTGCTGGAATGAGGGGGCGAGAGAGATGGGTGAAGTTTCAGATAAGGGAAACACAGAGAGAGGACGAGGGTCTCCAGGATCAGTGACGGAGAACACCTCCTCTTACAGCCCGCCCGTCTCTGCCGGCGGTGCTCGGCTTCACAGGGAAGGAAATGCTGAGGTCGGTGCACGCACCCGCCCGCGCCCCCGCCGCCGCCGCCGCCAGCCCCCGAACGCCGCCCGTCCGCCTGCGCGCGCACCTCCCGCTGGCTCAAACTGCCACCCGCGCGCCTCCGGCTGGCACCAACCGCCGCCCGCGCGCCTCCCGCTGGCACCAACCGCCGCCCGCGCGCTTCCGGCTGGCACCAACCGCCGCCCGCGCGCCTCCCGCTGGCATCAACCGCCGCCCGCGCGCCTCCCGATGGCACCAACCGCCGCCCGCGCGCTTCCGGCTGGCACCAACCGCCGCCCGCGCGCCTCCCGCTGGCACCAACCGCCGCCCGCGTTCGCTCGCTGCCAGCAATCTGAGGTGAGGGGAGTATTGTGTAGGCACCCACCTCCTAGTTCCAGTTTAAATACTTTTCTTTTTTAAAAAGGCATGGAATATATTGCAAATGTTCAGTGTTTTTTAAATGGGTCTAATTGCAAATATTTACTTCTTCCCAATTTCGGCTTTTCCAAAACCCATGGTACAATGGGGCGACCCCAATGGATCAGCTTGATGTCAACCATCAATTTTTATTTTTGGATTTGACGGGTCGGTTTACATCGAATGGAGTCATAAAATGTCTACTGCCCAGAAAAATGCCACTTGGTCCATTATGCCTGCGCCAGTGGGAAACACCACCCTAATCCAAATTTATAGCATTTACATGGGAACAGATGGAATTGTAGCAAAAGTACACTAATTGGCCCCTCCAGTTTTTCTCTTGTCTTTCAGTGATCTCTTTGTGCTTCAAGTTCTCCTTACCTATCTGCCGCCCCTCCATGTCCCACCATAATTTCCTTAATTTCCCTATTTACAAGAACCTGCCTCTGTTTTAAAAATATTCAATGACCTTCCTCCAGTACCTTATGAGGTGGAGAGCTCCAAAGTCACACAATTTCTGAGAAAAGAAATCCCCCAAATCTGACCTCAAAGGGAAACCCCTAAGTTTTCAAACACAGTTTCTCAGTTCTGGACTCACCCACAAGAGTAAACATTTTTTCATGGTCTAACTTGTCAAGACCAGTCAGAATCTTTTACAGAGATAGTAGGAACTGCAGATGCTGGAGAATCCGAGACAACAATCAAGTCATCCCTCAACTCTTCTAAACTCCAGTGGAAACTAGCCCAGCCTGTCCAACCTGTCTTCATAAGACAACTTGCTCACTCCAGATGTCAGTCTAGTAACCTCCTCTGAACAGCCTCAAGTGGTATTTACATTCTTCCTTATAATGAGTCCAAAACTGCACACAGTACTTGAGATGTAGTCTCACCAATGCCCTGTATAACTGAAGCATAACATAATTTTATGTCCAATTCATCTCAGAACAGAGAGTGGCATAGCATTATACTTCTTGATTATGTGCTGCACCTCCATACTAATGTTTTGTAACTCATGCACAAGAAGTCTTGAATCCCTCTGTCCTTCACAATTGTGCAATCATTCTAAATTTAAGTAATACTTCCTGCCAAAGTAAACAGTTTCATATTTTCCCATTTTCCCACATTATACTCCATCTGCCAGATTGTTGGCAATCCAACCAATTTATATCTGTCTGCAATTTCCTTATCTCCTCATCACAACATGCTTCCCTACCTATCTCGGTGTGGTCTGCAAATTTAACTACCATGTCTTTGAACCCCCTCATCGAAGTCATAAATGAAAATTGTAAAGAGTTAGGGTCCCAGACCCCTCCAGGACTCCACTCATCACATCTTGTCCATCAGACAAAGACCTTTTAGGCATACTCTCTGGCAGCCAGACAATCTTTTGTCCATGCTAATATGTTACCATATCAACCACAATATTGTCTACAATAACCTTTGATCTGACAGCTTCTAGAAATGTAACTTTAGAACATTTACTGGCTCCCATTTATCTGCAGCACATGTTGCTTCTTCAAAGAACTCCAATAAATTGATTGAACATGCTTTCCATTTCATGAAACCATTCAGATTGTTCCTATCTTCAGTTTTTCTAAGTGATCAATTGGCCTACAATATCATGTTTTTTGCCTCCCTCTCTTCTTGAATAGAGGGGCTATATTTGCTACTTTCCGTTCTGATGGAAGCTTTATGGAAATTCTAGAGTATTTTGGAAAATGGACACCAAGTCCCATGCATCGTGTCTCATTAACTTAATTGAACATTTGAAGAAGTGACAAAGAGGATTGATGAAGGCAAAGTGGACTTCAGCAAGGTGTTTGACAAGGTTCTGCTGGGTTCCGCAGAGTTCTGAGAAGGGTTACCGTTAACTCTAATTTTTTTCTTCACAGATGCTGCCAGACCTGCTGAGCTTCCAGGAACTTCTGTTTTTGTTCCACACGGTATACTGGTTGACAAAGTTAAATCACATGGAATACAGGCAGAACTAGCCTTTGGATACAAAATTTGCTAGGAGGTAGGAGACAGAGTGGTGATGGAGGTTTGCTGTTTGGTCTGGAGGCCCATGACTAGCGGTGTGCTGCAGTGATTGATGCTGGGTCCACAGTTTTTAGTCACTTATAGAAATAATTTGGATGTGAATATAGGACGTATGGTTAGTAAATTTGCAGATGACACCAAAATTGGTGGCGTAGTGGACAACGATGAAGGTTGCCTCAGAGTACAACGGGACTTTGATCACATGGCTGATGGGCTGAGGAGTGGTAGATGAAGTTTAATCAAGATATATGTGAGGTGCTACATGTTGGTAGAACAAATCTGGGTAGCACTTGTACACTTAATGGTAAGGCCATGGTGTGTGCTGCCAAACAAAGAGATATTGGAATGCAAGTTCATAGTTCCTTGAAAGTGGAGTGACAGATAGACAGGGTAGTGATGAAGGCGTTTGGTATGGTTGCCTTTATTAGTCAATGCATTGAGTAAAGGAGTTGGGAGGTCATATTGCAGCTGTACAGGACTTTTGAAATACTGCATTCAATTCTGGTCTCTGTTTTAGGAAAGATGTTGTTATACGTGAAGCAAAATACTTGATCATGTAATCTGCCATTTCCTCATTATCTACAATTAACTCCCCATCCTCATTCCCTAGAGGATTGATACTCATTTCACTTATTCATTACCTTTTTAAATGCCTATGGAAATACTTGCCGTCCATTTGTACATTCCTAGCTGACTTCCTCTCTTCCTGTAATATCTTTGAATAAACCTGTTTGTCATTCTCTGCCATTTTTTATCTTACAGCTGTTCCCCATGAAGCCTACTCACGATCACAGCAATGCTCACTTTTGAGAAGAGAACTCTCTTTATTACCCCTTTGCCTTCCCATCCTGATATTTGCACCATTTTTGTAAAGTTTTTTCCACCTCTCACTGGGGATATCTATTATTTCTGGAGCCTTCCTCACTTCCTAGCATCCGTTATTAAGGCCTCTGCCTTTTTTTTCAGTGTGTTTGCTGTAGTGTTGGAATGAGGGCCAGGTAGATCTCATTGACTATGAGATCCTTGATTAAGGTTGTTGACCTGGGCCTATCGGGGAACCCTGGCTGACAGATATAAAACAGGAGATTCAGAGAGTCTCCTCGTTCTAGCTACTAGCTCTGAGCTGGCTGGTCAAAGCCCATGTACTGTGTACATGTAAATTAAGGGTGACTTGGTGATGGGATACTGGCCTCTGTGCAGTTATTTCAGTTGTCTTTCTCGTTTCCTACCCACACTTGTTTCTGCACCTCTTTCCAGCTTCTTGGTGAACCTTCTTCTTTGGGGAAGTGCTGAACTCATCCTTGTGCTGCTCTCTAGCTGCTGCTATTTATCCCTTGTTATGTTTCAACAGCTGATTGACTGTCAGTATCTCCTTAAAGCTGTCTGTGTCTTCTTAAAAAAAAAGAGATTTTAACATAATCAACAAAACAAAAGTTCAACCTGTTTCACAGTACTATTCATGACTTTAAGTTCACAGAAACTGCACACTGAACTCTAGGTTTATACTTAAAGGACTCTTTCCCGGACATTTTGTACGAGAACTCTGGAGACTGTTTGGTGACTGCTTTCTGAGTCTACTGTCATGAACTTTTCACAAATCCAATAACCTGTAGTTTTCTAATCTTCCTGACTGGAAGCTTCACAAAACTAGACTCTTCTGTTGGGCCGATTGGCTTCCCTGAGTTGAAAAATTCCTACGAAGAGAGAACTGCTCAACTGAACGCTGAACTTTCTGCTTTAAAATCGAAACAAAACTAATAACTTAGTGTATTTACACTACTCAAAAATAAAAAAACATTTTATTCTGTTAACACTTCAGGGGTTCTCACCCTTGATTGAAGTCATTTGTTCTCTTGGAACTGGTGTATTTAGGTCACTATTTCATAATGATTTTCTGACCTTTTGTTTTAAAAAAACCTTAACGGCACTAACACACATCCTTTTGCCCCTCTTAAAATAATTCAAATTCCAAAAATGATAATATATATTCTGCACCTTTCATCCAGTAGACAGAACCACCACAACTTTCCACAGTGATTCAGGATGTGTTCCAACTGAATCAGGCGATGTTTCTACTGTGAGCACTGTCAGTGATTGATTGTATCTTCCTTATCCAATTTTATTCTATCCAATATCGCTTCTACCATCTGCTTTATTGATATATTGTCTAGTTTGTCTTCTCTAGTGAAGGCAAATGAAAAATGCTGATTTAGTACCTCAGCTATAACCTCAGTCTCCAAACACAGGTCTCTGTTGCTTCTTACGCAGTCCCACCTGTCCACAGACTACCCTTAATATCATTTATCATTGATTTTGGTTAAATCTTACTTCTCCACCACAATTTAAAATATCACACCAACACATGTATGCAAGACATTTTGGATTTTGAGTATTGAGTGTCATCAAGTGTGAAGCACAACATAATTTGCTTCATCCAAAGAAAAATATCATGAATTCAGCATTCTCAGCCATGTGTTTCAAATGCTAAGAGCCTTCTAAGACCCCATATGGTGGCAAGAAGCATCTGTATTTTACAGCTGAAAA